TAACCTATTATTTTAATTAATCATCAAATCCATAAATCATAATTTTTCTTTTCTTTGCTTTGCTTTGCTTTGCTTTGCTTTGCTTTGCTTTGCTTTGCTTTGCTTTTCTTTTCTTTTCTTTTTTCCCCCCTCCTGCAAAAAGTCTAAAATGAACTTCCAATTGGTATTAAAGTTAGTCAATTTTTTTTTCCTTCTAAAACTCCTCTGGTTTCATAAATTAGTTCTCTAGGGCTATAGAAAATCTTGATAGACACTCAAACTCCCAAAGAGATTGAAGTGGAACATGTTATATATATATACACTGCTTCATTTTAATGAAATCAACATGAGTTCCATTAGTTCTACATGTTGTTCTCTGGAGCATCACATTAAATTATCACTATTTATGAAGAAAGAACATTTATTGAAGAGGTCTTCGTAATTTGAGTCCTCCAGGTGCCTTCCATCAATATTCAGTATGATTTAACTTCTCTAACAATTTTTTTTGTACAAATAATTTGGAAATAAAGTAAATATTCAAGTGGAATTTCAGGCCTTTTAGAATTCAAGACAGGTAAGTCTTATATTAAAGTAGTCTTTCTATCAAGGTGGAAATAGAATACAGTAGTATACAGGATGAACAGTTTTTGATTTACAGTGAATTATGCTTGAAATCCAGTTTGGTGTAATGATTAAAGGCACTGGGACAGAAACCAGGAGATGTGAGTTCTAGGCATGCCTTAGGCACAAAGCCAGCTGGATGACTTTGGGCCAATCACTCTCCCTCAGCCCTAGGAAGAAGGAAATGTCAAACCACTTCTGAAAATGCTGCCATGAAAATTGCATGGACTTGTCAATGGAGTTACAAGGCCACACTTAACCTTTAATAAATTATATGATTGAAAATGATGGGGGGAAATGAATGCCAACTTGTTTAATCCTATGGATCAGTCACTCAATCAAGGCTATTTGGACCCTATCCATTGAAGATTCCTTTCCTTTCCTTTCCTTTCCTTTCCTTTCCTTTCCTTTCCTTTCCTTTCCTTTCCTTTCCCCTTCTCCTTCTCCTTCTCCTTCCCCTTCCCCTTCCCCTTC